CAAACGCGCCTCGCCGGCGTGGAAAGCCTGTGCCTCCCGCCCTGGCCGTAGCCCCGCGCGTCTCAAAGGAGCCTGCACAGCTTTTCCCCTGCAGACCGTTACGGGGTCCCGACCCAGACCCCAGGAGAGGACCCCCGCGGGGGGCGAGCGGGGGGCGGGGAGCCGGGCGGGGGTCCCGCCTCCGCGCCGCCGGGAACTACGCTTCCCAGCCTGCTCCGCTGCCGCCGCCGCCGCGCGCCCCGGCGCCGCGCCCGGCCGGGAGCCGCCTGTTGATCGCCGCGCTCGCCCCGGCCGCGGCGCGCCCCAGCTCGCCCGGCCCGCCAGCTCGGGGCTGACGGTCTGCCCGCCCTCGCCGCCGGCTCCGGGATGGGCGCACGGACGGGTGAGCGCGCCGGGGACGGGAGGGGGCCTGCCCGGGCCAGCCGCAGTCTGCAGCCCCCGGGCCCGGGACGCGGCGCCGCCGCGCCCTCCTTGCCGGCTGGAGGATGCTCCGCGGCTCCGGCGCGTCGGCCGGGCGGGCGCGCGAGCCGGGCGCCTTTCGCCTCCCGGCCCGCGGGTGCACGGGGCGGCCGGGCGGCGCGCGCGGGCGGGCTGCACGGGCAGGGGGCTCCCGCGCTCGCCGGGGTGTGGGTCCCACGCCCTGCACTGCGCTGCCGCAGCCTCCGCAGCCCGCTGGGCCGCGGCAGTCGGGGCGCGGTCTCCTGTCCCCCCGGGCTGCGGGGCCGGGGTTTTCCACGCTGGGCTTTGTTTCCCACTCTCCCCTCCCATGTGAATGTGTGATGAGCTCCTCGAGTCTTATGCATCTCACTGCCTCGGTAAAGCGGGCGACAAGGAAGGGTGGACTCCGGCCGGCGTCTTTTTCTAAGATCCCTGGAGCTGTCACTCGCAGGGCGTTTCAGCCTCCCTGGAAGCAGCCTCATGCAGGTCCTTGAGACGCTTCCCCCACCCTCCTGATTAAAGTTAATGATAGCATGTGCTCTCCCTTGAGGCTTCCTAAATTTTCCCTGTTGGCCTGCATAAATGAAGGTTGATTTTTGAAATAATGATAATGAAAGGCTCCTAACGGGATTTTTTTTACTTAAAGTATCCGAAGGTGGGAAAGTGATGCGGTCAAAATGCAAATGAGCAACGAAGGAGGCCGTGTATGCTATGGTTTCGCCTGTGCGCATTAAACGTCTGAATCACGAGGCACTTGGGAAGGGAATGGAAAGAATATTGGAGGAGGTGTTTTAAAAACCAGCTTCCCGTCCTAGCTCCGCTATAAGGAGCTGAGGGACCCTGGGCAAGGCCCTCCACCTCTGAGCCTCTTTTTTTTTTTTTTTGTATGTAAAAATGGGGCATCTGGGCGAAATGATTTCTAAACCTCTATTCTTCCAAGCTTCTGCTATCAGGGAAATGAAGAGATGAGGGTGCTTCTGTTTAACACCATTACAAAAAGCCCGATTGTGACCGAACAAGCAGCTCTGCCCCAGTGAGCAGGAAAGATTTTTCAGGGCTTAGGCAATCTGATATTTGTACAAAATGAAACTGATTTATTCTATCTACTCTCTTCAGTCTAACGCAATAAATTTGCATGACAACTATTTTAATTTTTGTAAATTACCGTAAATGGGTAGACATAAACGTGGTGGGGTTTTTTTGTTTTCAGTTTGCTGAAGGTGAAGTGATGGGATCAGCAGATAAAGGGTTAGGGGCTCCCTAGGGCTGGGCCTGAACGGTCGAGTGTGGTCAGCTACGGGATGGGGGGTGGGGGGCAGCCCCAGCAAGGAGTAACCAGAGCGCATACACCGAGAAAAGAAAAGAACGGATGGTACTGATGGGCCATTGTTTGAAAAGGAAATACACCATGGAAGGAAGGAGAGAACCAGAAATTTAGCACTTTGCAAACCCTAACATAACAGATGATTCAGGCAAGGACTCACCAAACTGATACAAGACCTCGGAGTGAAAGATGGTTGGGGAATAGGATTTTTACATTATTTCAAAGTATCTCACCACAGATTACTTAAGGAAAAGGTGAATTTACAATGGAGAGCTTAGGAGGTCAGCACCTTAACCAAATAAATGATCAAGTTTAGCAGCACCTATTATGAGTCTCCTATTGTGCAATAATAAGGCTGTAACTTCACCTATGTAGTGTTCTTGCCAAGAAGACTGGGGTTCAGGGAGCACAACTGTTGTATGTTAAAATACCCAACTGGTGTAACAAAGAATTGGGTTGTGTGAACTTTGAATCCTAAAAGAGGAGGAAAAAATAGCTATAAAAGTCAATTTGGGGCCAGGCGAGTTGGCTCATGCCTATAATGCTAGCATGCTGGGAGGCTGAGGCGGGAGGATCGATTGAGGTCAGGAGTTCGAGACCAGCCTGAGCAAGAGTGAGACCCTGTCTCTACTAAAAATAGAAAGAAATTAATTAGACAACTCGAAATATATAGAAAAAATTAGCCAGGAATGGTGGCGGACGCCTGTAGTCCCAGCTACTCAGGAGGCTGAGGCAGGAGGATCGCTTGAGCCCAGGAGTTTGAGGTTGCTGTGAGCTAGGCTGATGCCAGGACACTCACTCTAGCCTGGGCAACAGAGTGAGACTCTGTCTCAAAAAAAAAAAAAAAGGTCAATTTGGAGACAATAGGGATATTTGAATATGGACTGCATGTGAGATGACATTATGGAATTACTGTTAATTTTTTTAGGTGCAATAATGGTTCTGTGTTTATGTAGGAGACCAAATGATCCTCATTCTTTGGAGAGGTGGTATTAGAAGTGAAGTGTCATGACATCTCCAACTTTTGGCTGGTTTAGAAAAACAAGTATAGGGTGACAGAGCAAGTTCAGGAATGTGGCAAATGTGGCAGAATGGTGACAGTTGGTAAAATCAAGAAGAATGGGGCCTGGCGCGGTGGCTCACGCCTGTAATCCTAGCACTTTGGGAGGCCGAGGCGGGCGGATTGCTCAAGGTCAGGAGTTCGAAACCAGCCTGAGCGAGACCCCGTCTCTACCAAAAATAGAAATAAATTAATTGACCAACTAAAAATATATATACAAAAAATTAGCCGGGCATGGTGGCGCATGCCTGTAGTCCCAGCTACTTGGGAGGCTGAGGCAGGAGGATCGCTGAGCCCCGGAGATTGAGGTTGCTGTGAGCCAGGCTGACGCCACGGCACTCACTCTAGCCTGGGCAACAAAGTGAGACTCTGTCTCAAAAAAAAAAAAAAAAGAAGAATGGCATATAAGTGTTTATTTTACTATTCTTTTAACTTTTCTTTAGATTTGAACTTTTTAACTAAAAAATTGGGGGAGATCAATAAAATAAGTAAATTAAGAGAAAGTATTGTAGAGGACTGTGGAAGTAGTGACAGCTGCAGTGAATATATGGGAACTCCTTGGTTTCAAGCTCTCAAGGTTTAAATCCTATTGGAAGTATGAGTGGGGTCAGGAGGACCCCCATTGGTTCATCTCAGCTGCTATCAATCATTTATGCTTAAGATACCCCATCCCCTCGCTCCAACCTCAAAGCATTAGTAATTCCCCAAACCTTAGAAACTCTAGCTCTATACATGAGCCATCCCTTCCCTCTCTATGTCTGAGATCTGTGTCAGTGTGTAAGGAAGTTTGATAACATAGGTGGTGGTTCGTTTTATTTTGGGTTAGAGAAGCGTTGGGGGAAAAAAATCCAGCTTTATGACAATAGAAGTTGAGAGGTTTCCTCACATTCCCTTTGTGTGTAAATCACATGCAACCAAATGTTTTCCTTATAGACTATAAGTAGTTCAAAGGGTTTGTAGAAGACATGTGCAGAAGAGACTTCCTGTAACCAAACCAAGAAAATAGAATCAACTCTGAAGATACAATATTTAATCTTTTATACAGAATCTTTTGCTACAAGGATATTTTTGCTATTCCTGGATGTTGTGTGTATATATATGAAAATGTTAATTTAGGGTGTACACATTTATTTGCACTAATGTCTAAGATAGTTTATGTGTATGTATCTGTGAATCTCTCAATCAGTATTCCCCAAAATATATAGAATGTTAATAGGTTACAAGAAAAAGTACCTAGTCACCTTTGAGAAACACTAGGGTAAACAAAGCTGAAAAGGTTTTTCAGAGTTTTTGTTCATAGGTGTGAAGGTGGGGAAGGAGTATCTGTAGGATATAGCATGGAATGGTTCCCAAACTGTGCAAAATTTTAAAAAATTGTGAGAGACTAGCTTTGCATGGAACCAATTTTGAGAAAACTGCCTTTGATGCATTTTTAGGTGGAAGGTCAGGACATCTGGATAAATGTGTAGGTTGTAAGTATTTGTTATTTGTGCTTTCCATTACCTACAGATTAGAATTTAAATTTCAGTTTCTGGTTTTAATAGATCATAACTATTTGACCCCAGTCTACTTTTCCAACCTTAATTTCCTATACTTCTTCCTGTGAACTCTCCTATTTAGTAATCTGTTGCATACTATGAACCATTTTTATTTTCAGTATACCAAGAAGTCAATTACATGTAATTTTGAAGGCTTTGTGGTTATATAAAACACGATATTCTGTTCTGCTTTGGCTCTTCCATGGAGCTGGGATAGCCCCCTTCCCTCCCAAAGCCATTTGAGTTCCTTAGCCTTGGTCCTGTGTTTCAGCACAAGCTTCCTCAATGCTGTGATTTCATGTTATTTTTGATTTTATGCCCTCTTGTTTTGGCATCAAGACTTCCCTATTAATTATCTTTCGTGTGTGTCACCAGTATTTCTGGATTCCTCTTGTGATAGCTGGGTAGGGTACGAATGAGAAGGTCAATTCTAGGACTGTGGGGTGACAGGAGCTTGTGAAACAGGGTGCAAGGCCAGCCAGGCCAAACCTGGATACAAGAAGACGGGAGCAAAGCTGAGGCACCAGCCCTAAGAAAGAACCAAGAGGCCCCTCATCAGAGTAGTTGGAGAGGTGTGGAGTCTAGTGACCTGGGCTGCTTGCTGTTCAGTAGTGGCTTGGGGGGGGGGGTGGACAGCCATTCCCATTGTTTGTAAACAACCATTCTGATTGGGTAGTGTCAATTTCGTACCACTTGCTAAATATTTTGCATTTCATCTTGGTAAGCAGTGACATGTCAAGGTGTACAGCACACCCACAGGTCATAACAAAGCACACATGAAAACCTGGCTGGCATCCAGATGCTAAAGAAAGAGAAGAGCTAGATGAGTCAAAGACCACATAAGCAGGCAGAAGCCAGGAGGGCACATGAATCAAAGGAGAAAGAGCAAGGAACCTGTGGTACCAATCAGAAAGTTAGAAGGCCGTAAGTTCCCAAAGGTAAGATGAAGGGACACGGTTAGAACTGACAGGCAGTTAAAAACAAGAAAGGCACAGATACCCAACTGGAAAGCAAGAAGGTAGACAGAGGTCAAGAAATGGGAACTCCTCCAAAAATAGAAAATGGAGCCACACAGAAGGACAAGGTGGCAGCAAGAAATAGGACCCACCAAGAGAATTAGAAACCAGGAGGCAGTCTGGGCAGTCGGTGAGACTTCCATGTGAAAGAGCTTCTGCCCCAGCCAGGAAGCTTTCTGGCTGCTTCCTGCCCAAGTGGAAACCTATCTCCTAGTCTGGCCAGCCTACACCACGGCAGCTTGCTACACCTGGCAGTGCTGACCCACAGCTCTTACAGGATGCTGCCTTTCCGTGTTCAACAGATCCTGATGAGGAAAACAGAGGGGAAGGATACCTGCAAAAGATTATTCCCAGACCAACGATGAAAGAAAAAGCTTTGACTGAGGGCTTGAATGTGCTAGACACTATGCCCGGTATGTACATCATCAGCTTAAGTGTCACCTCTACCTTCTGAAAGAAGTACTGTTCTTTGCCTGTTTCACAGAGGAAGGAACAGAAGCTTGGAGAGGTTGTCACTGCACTTGTGTCTGCGCCATCAGACCTTGGGCTGGCTGACTCCAAGCCCCATGCGTTTGGTGTTCTGTGCTCTTCTGAACCTGAGCAATCACTTCTGAGCAATCACTAGTGGGCTCATAGTTATAGAGAGGGACTATTTTCAACCACAATATATAAGCTCTGGCAGTTCTTGTGTTGTAAAATTGGGAAATTAAGAACAAATAGTCTCAGATACAGGCTCTTCATTCTGGTAAAATCTGTTCCTCATTCCCCTTTTTTCATGCTTTACTGCATATTTTGCCTGAAATTTCTCCTTATACCACCTCAATTTCTATCCTTCATCCTCTCCAAGTGTCTTCTACAACGTGGCAGGTGCCATTTCGTTGTTTAAAAAAAGAAGCAGACTTGACTGGTCTATCATCAAATAGTTAGATTCCAAAACACGGACTGTGGCTGTTACATCTTTGTAATTGCCCAGCAGTTAGAAATGGATTCAATATGGGATCAGTTCATGTTTTGTTGGAGGGGACATTGATACGCTGATTTTTGTTCTAATTTACTAGTTTTAGAAAATGTAGATTTGGCTCTTGTGAAACTTGGTTCACTAATTGTTTAAAGAATTATTATGAAATATTGAAGATACATTAGAAAGAATAAAGAATAACCTCTCATTTACTGATCCTCCACTTAGGAATCAATCATCACCAGCACAGTTGAAGCCCCAAGTCCCCCTTCTCCAGTAAAATTCCCCTCCCCTCCCAATGCAGTATTTGTCCTTACAGTGAGCAGTCCTTTGTACCTTTCCTAGATATGTATGTGTTCTGAGGCAATTTATGGTAGTGTTTTATGTATTTAAAAAACTTTCCACTAGGTTTGTTTTTTGTTTTTTGAGACAGGGTCTGGCTGTGTCTCCAAGGCTAGAGTGCAGAGGTTTTATCATAGCTCACTGCAACCTCAAACTTCTGGGCTCAAACGAGAACTACAGGCACATGCCACACACCTGGCTAATTTTTCTAATTTTAGTACAGGGTCTTGTTCTTGCTCAGTCTGGTTTCGAACTCATGACCTTGAGCCATCTGCCCGCCTCAGCCTCCCAGAGTGCTAGGATTACAGGTGTGAGCCAGGCATGCAGGCATGCTGAGCCTTCACTAGATTTTTAAGAGTATTTTTTGTTTACTCTTTTGTAAAAACTAGTCCTTGGCTTGGCTTGTGTGTAATGAATAAACTGCTTATTTTGACTTTGTTCCTGTCTTTGTGTGTAGGCAGGGCCAAGGCTGGGCACTTCACGTTGTATCTGATTTTCCTCTTTCATACCACAGCTATAAAAATAAGGTAGTAGAAGGAGAAGCAAAGAAAGCCACACTCTTTATTTTCCTCCCCAGGGCTTGTATCTTTGGGTAATAGGAAGAATTATTTAAGGGCTCAAGTCATCCTTCCATCAGCTCAAGTCCTTACTCCTCTTTTCCATTTTCCTGACCATTTTCTGTACTTGCCCACCTGGATTCTTGGAAACTTCACTTAGCGTTTGTTTTATTCCACCGTGTACATTAGTATCTTGTTGTACGTTGAATGCTTGCCATGGGACACTCTGCCAGAGGCGAGGCTGCAACAGTGCTTTGCAAACTCCCCACAGCGGTGTCTCTAGCAGGAGGAGACAAACGTGAACCCCTGTGGGGTTGGTGGGGGTTAAAGCAGACCAGCCATGAGTTGGAAAATCTGTGATTTGACTTTAAAAACTATGAGAACACTGCATTCTTCTCCACTGTATGTCTATATTTGTTTTTAAAGAATAATAACTAGCTTTTCCCCAAATCTTCAAGTCAAAATTGTGCTCCAGGAGGCTACAAAGTGTTTTTCTTCTCTACCTTTGAGACCCTCTCCCCCCAGTACATTGACACAACATACGCAATTTGTTTTAACAGATACTATTACATACTATTAACATGTTATTGCAATCGATTCATCAATATGCCTTTCCCTACTCATCTACAAGCTCAGAGCACAGGATATCATCTGTTTTGTTCACTGCTATTGTCCCAGCAATGTCTGGAAAATGTAGACTTTCTGCAGACATTTTTTGAATGAATATACAAACTTGAGCTTGAGAAGACCAGGAATGTAAAGAACTGTGACATGATCCCCATCTTTTGGGAGTTTGCAGTGTAGCTGGAGAGAGGACCACGTATGTGACATACATGAAAAGATAACAAGAAAGCAAGTGATAAACATCACTTGGTAACACAGGCAACACAAATTTAGGGAGGGGGCAATTTCTGTGAGCTTAGGTGGTCTCAGAAAGTTCCGTCACAGGGAGAGGAAGCGGTGGCTGCAGTGGAATGAGCTCTGGACCTGTGGCTCACTTCGGCTCTTTGGGCTCATTTCCTTCATTTGACATTTGTTGCAGAATATTTATTAGATGCCTATTCTGTGTCAAGACCTATGCTGGGAGTCGGGATTTTATCCACCAGTAAAACTGATACAATCCCCACCCTCATAGTGATTAGCAAGAATGACAGATAAAACAAGTCATCGTAATAAAGCCAAGAACAGATGTGATCAAGGGGGTCCCTTGGGGGAGGGGAGTGACCCAGACATTGTCTCAGGTCCAAACAAGGCCCCCCTGAGGAAGTGCAGCTTGCAGGAGACTGGGGGATGAGCCAGATAGCAGTCAGCCAGAGGAGGGGGGTGGTGAGAGTGTTCCTAGCAGAGGAAACAGCATAAGGCGTGATCCAGGAATTGGAAGTGGTCCAGGGGGCTAGAGCCAGGAGGAGACAGGAGTGCAGTGCAGCATGAGGCTGTTGAGGATGGCAGAGGCCAGAAGAATTTGAACCTTATCCTCAAGGCAGCAGGAGGCTGCTGGAGGATTTTAAGTAACCAGGGCAGAGTTGTTTAAAAAGATCTTTTGGGCCATTTGTGTGGAGAATGGATCAGGAGAAGCTAGGGCTGAATGTGGGCAGTGTGGATGAGTGAAGTAGGTGCATTCTCAACACGTTTAGGGAAGGACAGGATTTGGTGATTGATGGGAGGGAGAAGATGTCAAGGCTGGCTCCCTCATTTTTTGGCCAACTTGCTGAAGTTGAAAATACTAGAGGAGGAAAGATGATGAAATGATAAAAGCACTTCTGACATATTTGAGGTGTCTGAGGCAGCTAAGGAGAGATGTTGATTAGGCAGTTGAAAATATACAGGTCTAGCCCTCAGAAACAAAGTCTAGGATGAAGACGGGTTTTGGAGTCATATATATATATATATATATATATATATATATGAAAATCTTGGAGGTAGATGAGTTATCTAGAGAGAATGTATAGTATAAGAATAGAATTTCTAAGACAAGATCTTGAAGAATGCTGGTATTTAAGGTGAAGGAAGAGAAATTGAGATCAAAAAGGAGTGGTCAGAGAAATAAGAGAAACACCATCTATGTTGCTAGATTACATGATCTTTAAGGCCTCTCTCAACTCTGACATTCTGTGGTCCTGCAGAGCTGGGATCTGAGCCAGGTCTCAAAAGCAGAGCATGTGGTTGGACATTGTGGCACACACCTGTCGTCCCAGCTACTCAGGAGGCCAAGGCGGGAGGATCACTTGAGCCCAGGAATTTGAACCAGCCTGAGCAACATAGTGAGACTTCCTCTCTAAAAAAAAAAAACATAAACCAAAGAAACAGAAAAATAAGCTGGGCACGGTGGTGCACGCCTGTAGTCCCAGCTACTTGGGAGGCTAAGGCAGGAGGATCACTTGAGCCCAGGCATTTGAGGTTGCAGTGAGCTATGATGAGACCTCTGTACTCTAGCCTGGGCAACAGAGTGAGACCCTGTCTCAAAAAACAAAAAGAAAGCAGAACATACAGATAGGCCATGAGAGTAGAGAAGGGCATTCCAGGTAATATTACTGTATCAGCCAACTTCCCAACAAGAAAAAGGGTATCCTCAAACTGAGTAACTCGAGCAATTTTAATAAAGAGGCTATTTACAAAAATGTGAGGAGGATTTAGGGAATCCAGCAAAGCAAAACTCTGGCACTAGCCACCACAGGGCCCCTTCACCATCCCAAGGCCTGAGGTCCACAAGAGGAGGGCAGCTTTGGAGGGAAGTCTGCCTGTCTGGGAGATGTGGCCTTCTGGACCTGCCCTCCCTCTCCCCCACGCTCTACTTTCCTGCCGGTGCTTCCTGTTGGCCAAACAGAAGCCAGAAAGGAAGAGAAGCCATTGATACAGTCGGAATAGATCATCTTCCTGCAGCACAGAGCAGCGTGGGGAGAGGGTGTGGAGAAGATAGCCAGAACAGTTATCTTGGAAAATGGAAGTGTTTGGGTAAGCGAGTGTATTAGTTGTGTGTTGTTTCAGTAGCAAATTAGCACAAATTTAGTGGATTAAAACAATGCAAATTCATTGTCTTACCATTTTGGAAGTTAGAAGTCTTAAACACGTCTCACTAGGCTGAAATGAAGGTGTTGGCAGGACTGTATTCCTTTCTGAAGACTCTGGGGAAGGATCCATTTCCTTGCCTTTCCCAGCTTTGAGGGCCACCCACACTCCTTGGCTCACAGCCCCTTCCTGCAGCTTCAAAGCCAAAAATCACATGACTCTGGCTCTTCTGCTTTTGTCATCACATCTCCTTCCAGAATCTTCTGCCTCCCTCTTGCGTCTGGTAAGAGCCCTTTGGATTAGATTGGGCCCGCCCAGAGAATCCAGGATAATGTCTCTATTTTAAGATCCTTAATTTAATCCCACCTGGTCCCTTTTGCCATGTAAGGCAACATACTCACAGATCTGGGGATTAGAAGGTGGACATCTTTAGGGGGCCACGATTCTGCCTAGCCCTGAGAGTAGATAAGCCATTTAAACTGAAGTGGAGGGCTCCCCAGAAAAGTAAAGAGGGAGAAAACAGTAAGTGCGGATGAAGGTCAAATTACGGGAGCTTTGTATGCTAAACTGTCTGAATTTCCTTCTGTAGATAAGAGGGAGCCATTGTGTGTTCTAAACTGGGGAAGTGGCTTGGTAGCAGTGTTGAGAAAGATGATCCCATCGTAGTGCTCTGGGTGGCTTACAGGGAAGAACAGAAAGCTTTCAAGACGAAATCGGAGTAGTCTGGGCATGAAGGAACAAAGGTCCAAAGCGAGAGTGAAAAAGGATGGTGTGAAAAGTGCTGTGCAGTAAGTGGCTACCAGAGGTGCTGACAGACCAGACGCGGAAAGAAGGCAGAGAATCTAGGGCTGGTCTGAGTGTCAGGAGTGGCCGACTGGTAGATTAATCTAGAGAGCAAATCTATTTCAGAAGAGGATAAAGAGTTGGAGGTTATTCTACTCCAGAATCCTGGAGTAGAAATTCAAATAGAATCTTATCAACTTTAAGATACCATCAATTGTACAACATGCCAATATCTTATGTATCATTAAGAAAAAATTCTCAATATACATAGAAAAAATTAGCCGGGCATGGTGGCGCATACCTGTAGTCCCAGCTACTTGGGAGGCTGAGGCAGTAGAATTGCTTGAGCCCAGGAGTTTGAGGTTGCTGTGAGCTAGGCTGATGCCACGGCACTCACTCTAGCCTGGGCAATAAAGTGAGACTCTGTCTCAAAAAAAAAAAACAAGAAAAAATTCTGCCAATCAAAATGTGACACATACTTCCCTTTAAAAATACAATTTTTACTTTATTTAAAGAGCTGTTTTAGACTTCCATGTAGATTTTTTTAAAAAATTGACATACAATATAATTGACATACAATAAAGCACACATATTTCAAGTGTACGGTTTGATAAGCTTTGACATACACACGCTGTGAAACCGTCACTGCAGTCAAGGTGGTGAACCCGTGCGTCACCCCCAGAGTGTCCTCGTGCTCCACTGTCATCCCTTTCAGCCCCTCCCATCTCTCTGTCACGCCTAAGCGACTCTGATTTGTCGTATAAATCACTTTACATTTTCTAGAATTTTAGACAAATGGAATCATACAGTACATATTATTATTTTTGTCTTATTTCATTTACTATAATTATTTTGAATGTATCAATATTTCATTCCTTTTTGTTGCCAAGAAGTATTCCATTATGTGGATAAACCACAACTTGTTTATTTACCTATTAACGTTCAGATTATTTACAGTTTTTGGCAACTACAATTAAACCTGCTATGAATATGCACAGATTTCTAAAATCGTACATCTCTCCTGTGCATACATAGAAGGGGAAAATGTAAGTGAAAGGAATTGGTTGATATTCTTAAAGCTTCTTCATGTTCAGAATCCAACTTTTTAAATCACTTTTTGACTCGTAGTCATCAACGTCTGTGTTTTTCCACGCACTGTCTCCTCTGTACCATCAAGAGTGATAATTTTCAAAATCCATAAAAGAACTAAAATACATTGATCTGGGCACTTAAGCTTACTCTGTAATTACGTGGAACTGTCCTACTCTGGATCTCTCTCTGGGAGTGCTCCTCAACACACCTGCATCGCCATTTCCCCGAGATGGTTTGCTTCCTAGGTGTTTTTTGTTTGTTTGTGTTTTGTTTTGTTTTTATGGAGACAGGGTCTCTTTGCTGCCTGGGATAGAGTACTGTGGTATCACCATAGCGCACTGCAACCTCACGCTCCTGGGCTCAAGTGATCCTCCTGCCTCAGCCTCTTATGTGGCTGGGACTACAAACACATGCCACCACACCCAGCTAATTTTTCTATTTTTTGTAGAGATGGGGTCTTGCTCTTGCTCAGCTGGTCTCAAATTCCTGACCTCAAGCGATCCTCCTGCCTCGGCTTCCCAAAGTGCTAGGATTACAGGTGTGAACCACTGCTCCCGGCCACGCTTCCTAGGTTTTAAGAGTGTTGTTCCACAGTTGTCCCTGGAATTTCCTTCCAAGTCCCTGACATCCATTCCACTACTTTTGAATCTGGTGCTTTGGGTGTTTATGAAAACATAGGGAGTGACAAGTACATCTTGACTGTTCTGGAGCAACATTAATTGTAGGGCACCATCAGTTGTAAGACACATCGCAATTTCAGAAAGTTAAATGTGGTAAATTGTGCATCTTGGAATCCATTAAGTAGAGTAGTTCAGCCAATTCATTTGCTGGATAAGGGCCAGGCAGATGAGATCCTTGTCCAGTGTCACACTAGAAATTAGTGGTAGCTGGGACGAGAACAAAGTGTGTAGGATCCAGTTGATTTTTCTGACTTTGGTAAGATTTTCGTTTGTTTACTGGAATATAGTGATTGAAACCTAAAAGAAGGAGGATTAATGGATGAGAAAGAGAGTTGCATTGCATGTGGAAAGGGGGTACCTGGATAGAAAACCACAAGTCTGAACATTGTGAGCAGTTAAATTAGTGAAGGGAGGGGAACAGCATTCTAATAGCCCCTAAGTTGCCCTCCTGCAACCAATCGCTTTCCATGCCAACCCAGTCTTCATTCTTACTTGAACTGCTAATAGAATACAGGTGTGCCCAGGTTGCTCCCCTACTTTAAGAAGTTGTGGTGGCTTCCCATTCCCAACAGAATAAAGTCCAGGTGCCATAGCAAGGCACATCAGGAAGGCCCTTCACAGATGTCCTGTCCTTGTCTTTAGTTTTTCCGTCTCCCTCCCCATGGATCCTCCTGTCTAGCCATGCCTCTGATCCCACCAACATATCTGTCCTTTCTTATCGTGTGCTTCTGTTTATGCTGTTCTCTTCTCCTGGCATGGCCCTTGCCCACCCATGTCCACCTTATAGCCCATGTCCACCTTATAGCCTCTTTCTTCAAGGCTCAAATGCAACCTCTTTTTCACAGCTTCCTTTCAAAGTTGCCCCTCTTACTCAGTGATTATTTCCTCATGTGTTTTTTTGTTTTTGTTTTGAGACAGAGTCTGACTCTGTCACCCTGGGTAGAGTGCAATGGCATGATCATAGCTCACTGCAACCTCAGACTCCTGGGCTCAAGTGATCCTCCTGCTTCAGTCTCCCAAGTAGCTGGGGCTGCAGGCGTGCACCACCAAGCCTGGCTAATTTTTTCTACTTTTGGTAGAGACAGGGTCTCACTCTTGTCTAGGCTGGTCTCACATTCCTGAGCTCAAGCAATCCTCCTGCCTCGGCCTCCTAGAGTGCTAGGATTACAGGTGTGAGCCACCAAGCCCAGCCTCCTCATGTGTTTTTAAACCTATTTTATACATTACTTCTAAGACTTATTATATGAAATTATTGTCATTTGTATGTCTGCCTCACTAAACTATGATCTCCTTAGGGGAAAGGGTCGTATCTTATTTATCTTTTTATTCCTGTTTTCTAGAACTATGCCTGGCAAATAGTAGGTATACAGCATATATTAATTGCCCGGAAAAATCTGATTGATGCTAATGCCTCCTAAGGAGAAACACAATTAAATACATTACTATTTCCTGAGTGAGTGTTATCTGCAAGGGGAAAGAGATTGAGTCAAAATTTCATTTTGAGTGAAAGTTTAGAAGTGATGTGGTATGAAAAGGCAGGGAGGTTAAAAGGAGAATGGTCTAGGGGTATAAAGAAAGAAGAATTAAGGAGGGTGGCTAAAGAAACAAAAAACAAATGGGAATAGAAATAGAAGGGAAGATAAAGGAGAAAAAAGAGAACAGTAGAGAAAGTGATTATGTGTCCAGGATTTGAGAATCTTAGTTTAATTGCAGAGGAGTTACTGGACAATGCTTTCTCACATAGGCATTGCAAACTCTCTCCTGAATGAATCCCATTTTGTATTCTTCACATCACTCTCTCCCTGAATAGAAGCAAGTGTGCTTCTTACAACTGCCTTACAATTAGTGCATTGTTCTTCACTGCTTTTCTTTGGAAAGCTGGGGAAGGCAGAGTAGTATTGTGGAAAAGCACTCACTACACTGGGAATCAGAATGCCAGGCTCACAACATCCCAGCTCTGTGACCTCGAGGAAGGCACTTGGCCACCTTCACCTCAGAATCATCATCTGTAAGTGGGAATGATAATATCCTTGCAGGCTTCTTCACAGGGTTGTTGTAAAGATCAAAATAGGTAAAATAATATATATGAAAACACTTTGTAAGCTGTTGGGTTGCTCTGCAAATGAAGGTGATAATGCCCTTTTAGTTGAATTCCTTGTTCGATACAGTAGATTACATTGACAGCATAGCTTTGTCTCCTGCTAATTAAGTCCTGTTTACAGAAAGATCACAGTGTTTCTTTTTTATTAGTAGTACTCTGAAGTCTCAGGACATTGGCCCATTTAAATGTGCGTGGCCCATGAGAAAGGTATATAAGAAGCCATGGCACTCCCCTTTCAAAAAGAGCTGGAGAAATACAAGAACATTGATGAAGATGAGCTGCTTGGAAAACTCTCAGAAGAGGAACTGAAGCAGTTGGAAAATGTTCTGGATGACCTAGATCCTGAGGTTAGTGACATGGAACTGAAGCAGAGTGGGTTATTGATAGTACAGGCTAAATGGCACGGTTTGGTCGTTAAATAATAGTAGAAATCCCTTAGCTCCAAATGCAAATTTTCTGTTCTTCCCCTGATTGGCTCTGAGTCACTTTCTTTTACAAATTTGTGGAGAACCTCATAGCCACCACAGTGTGATAGGGCAAATGTATTTCTCAAAAACCAGTTTAATGTAAATAAGGAAAAATATTTTCCATTGGTTGAAGGAGGACTAGTCTGACTTAGGAAAAAAAAGAAGGAAAGAGGGAAGGAGAACAAATCTTACTGAGCTTTTTCTGTGCGTCATACACTTTGCTGGGCATAGAAGCCATTGAGGTAAATGGCATTAACACCATTTCATAAATGAGAAGACAGACTCGGAGAGGTAATTGACGTAAGATTTCACACTATTAAATGTCAGAGACCTGGTGTTTAAACCAGATCTTCAACGCCAAATGTGGGCTTTAAAAATTGCTCATTTCGGCCGGGCACGGTGGCTCACACCTGTAATCCCAGCACTCTGGGAGGCCAAGGCGGGTGGATTGCTCGAGGTCAGGAGTTGGAAACTAGCCTGAGCAAGAGCGAGACCCCATCTCTACTATAAATAGAAAAAAATTAATTGGCCAATTAATATATATATATAGAAAAAATTAGCCAGGCATGGTGGCGCATGCCTGTAGTCCCAGCTACTCGGGAGGCTGAGGCAGGAGGATTGCTTGAGCCCAGGAGTTTGAGGTTGCTGTGAGCTAGGCTGACGCCACAGCACTCACTCTAGCCTAGGCAACAAAGCGAGAGACTGTCTCAAAAAAAAAAAAAAATTGCTCGTTTCTTTGAAATGCATAAATAACTTGAAATCTTTGATCATCCTGTAACAATGGACAGATGAAAATGACTATAATCACAATATCAAGTAAATTTAAATGGAGTTTCTAATATTTTTATGAGTTCTTCAAAAGCTAAGTTGTTATAGTGTTTGTTTAGCAAGCACTTTCTGTGGCCTGATGGTTTTAACTTATTATAACTGGAGGCATCCAAAATAGTGATTTTACTATAAATAAAAATGTGACTAAAACAAAAGTATGCATATGGTATTTCTATATGTCAGATACTTTGAATATTGTATTTACTTTAAAACTTTTTTTTTTTTTAGCTTAAGGAAGGAATCTCGAAGCTTTAGCATGTATTAACATCTACCATAATATTCACTTACCTGCTTGGATGATTCTGCAGGAGAGGGGTCAGCCACATGGGCTCCTTGTTAAAGTCTCCATATTCCTGCCTGGGAGCACCTTGGGTGCAGACCTAGCCAATCCTAAGCGCTATCTGTAAGGAAAGAGGTCTTTCGCCACCACGTTCTAGAAGGCTATAATCTCTCTGCAGAAGACTCAGAGGCTGTTCTGGCAATCTCTGCTCTGCTTGAGCTCGCTGGGAGCCCTCCTCTAAGCACAGGATGTTAGAACAAGCAGGGAGGGGCTCAAAGATTGCCCAGAGACCCCAGTCCTCAGCTCACACCCACATTTCTGCATAGACATCCTTCTCTCTGCTTCCCTCACATACAGTGAGTAGGGTTTGGGGCAGGAAGTAACAAAGTATCCATCTGGCAAACATCCTTCTTTCTGTCCCGTCAGAGTGCAACGCTGCCTGCTGGATTCCGACAGAAAGACCAGACACAGAAAGCAGCCACCGGCCCGTTTGACCGCGAGCACCTCCTCATGTACCTGGAGAAGGAGGCTTTGGAACAGAAAGACAGGGAGGACTTTGTGCCCTTCACTGGAGAAAAAAAAGGTGAGGATGACAAGCATCTTGTCTCGGGACAAAGGTGCTCTCAATGTATTGCCGTGGAGGGTCGGGCAAGGGAACTGCCCTGGAAATGGGAAATAAGGCCGTGAACTGGATTCAGCATTAAAAAGGATCACTGCTGGTAAATACAAGCCAGTCAGCATGTGCCCAAACCCACAGAATGTACAACACCAAAAGTGAGCCCTGCTGTGAACTGTGGACTTTGGGTGCTAATGATGTGTCAGTTCATCAGTTATAACAAATGTCCCACTGTGGTGTGATGTCATTACTTGGGGAGGCTGTGTAGGGGCGGGGGGGTTTACTGGGATTATATGGGAACTCTGTACTTTCTGTTTAATTTTGCCATGAACTTAAAACTACTGTAAAAATTTAAGTTTAATTTAAAAGAAAAAAAGAAACATGGCAGAATATGTAGGCTAATTAAATGAATACTTGGGGCATCATAGTCCTCAAATTAGTTCAGTGAAAAAAATCTTGAACCCCAAAGAAAGTTTTCAAAATGTGAAGCAGCATCATGTCATGCCTGAAAGAGGACTCCATTGGCACTGCTGTGTTTCTCTTGGCTGGGTGCTTTACCAACTGCAGAAGTCCCTCGGGGCCTTTCTACTCCATGTCTAGGATGCCTCTAGCACCACACCCCCAACCTGAGAGGCTACCATGAGGGGCCAACATAGTCATTCACTCACCCAGCATTTACTGAGCACCTCCTCTGTGCAGAGCCTTGTGCCAGGCGCTGGGACCACAGGTGAATGACACCCTGCCCTCAAGGAGCTTGTGGTCTAGTTAGTGAAACACAACGATAGAGCCAGGAAGGCTGTGAGGAGCAAGGAGAAGTTTGTGCGTGCTAGGACTGAGCTTCCAGCCAATTCAAGGAAACCCTCCTCCTTAGCTCCTGGCCCTGAGCTCCCTTTGGGTGGAAGAGTGGGTATCACTAGCCTATCTGGCTTCCTCGCTATAGACAATGACCTGGGCCCACAGACACTAATCTATCGTTGATAACCGCCTGTCAACTACAGTCTCGGTAAAATACAAATCAGATCTCATCATTTCCTTGCTTAATATCCCAAATCATTACTGCGGTCTTCAAAGTGGATCTTGCCCCTACCTGCCCCTCTGATGGCACCTCTCCTTCCCTTACTTAAGCCTCAGCCCCACGATCTTCACTGACTTCCCAAACCTGCCGAATTCTTTTCCCGTCTCAGGCTGGTCTCCTCGTGCACTCTTCCTTCTGACCCACAGTCCCATTTTTCACATCCCAAGAGTCTCAGCTTAAACGTCAGAGCCTTGGGCTTTCCCTGACCTCTCTGACATAGCCCCTTCTTTCTATCATGACACCTGTTTATTGCTTTCGCAGCACTGTGACAGCCTGAGTTGTCACAACTGAGACCCAGCCAGAGCACTGCCACTTTCTCTCACATCACATCTGGGCTCTCCTCTGTGTTGTGCATAGTCGATGATTCACACGCCACTGAGAATATCATTAGGGAAGTAAAGTTGAACAGTGACAAATTGGACAAGTAACCAAGCATTACTGTGGAAAGCAGCTGTTTCTATGGCAGCAGAGTTGCTATTTGACTAATTTAATTGCAAAAAAATTTATCAAATCCCAATTAACATCAAGTAGTGACAGCATCATAAGGAGAAAGCTGTTTTCTTTTGTTCTCAGAGTAGAGGTCTGAGGAGTGGCTATGGGAAATTATCTCTTGATCCAGATTAATCTCCAGATGGTTCGTGGGGGCGTCAGGAATCCAGGGGCTATCTGAGAAGTAAACAGAGATATAAAGAGGGATGTAGTTGCACAGTGTAGCTTAGGAGAAGGCCGAGAAGTAGCACAATTGAATAAAAGGAGCAGGGAGCAAGTTTTCCAAACAGAGCAGTGGAGTCAGAGTTGAGGAGTATGCAGGGTCCCAGAAAGACCAGCGAGACGACCCAGGAGCAACGTGAGGCTTGCACGAGGTCCTCAGGAGAGAGGCCACAAGCCTCAGTCCTGAGTGCTGTGTGCTGGGGCACTCAGGTTCCTGGGCTGGATTTGACTCTCCAGTGCAGTTTATTTTTGCCTAGAACTTACTGTTCAGTTAGACCTGCAGGAGCGGATCTATATCAACAATTGTCCTGAGTACCCATTCTTGTTGGGCCGCCTGTGTACCTCATGTTTAGGGTAATCCTAAACTGTATTGGGAAGGAGGAACTCAGAAATCCTATTTGGACTTTAGACCCAAGATTATCTCAGGCAATGGGCCACAGATAACGATGAAAATAAAGTCTGACATGGACCCTGTTGTCTGAGATGTTGATTAGTTGATTTTTTTTTTTCATTTTCTATCTTCTGGCCATCCTCCTACTTTGTTCCCCAGTGTATTTTCCTTCTTTCTGGGAAAGGTGGTAGTTTATGTGATGCCAGGACAGGAATCAGGATGTTTGTGAGGGACAGACAGGGAGCTTGTTGCCAGGATGCCCCACACAAGCAATGTCTGTCTGTCTTCTCTTTGGAGTGCCCAGCTCTGACTGGCTCCTGCTTGCTTATCCAGCTGTTTGACAATATGGTCAACCATCAGGAAATACCCGGCCCTTGTTATCAGGGAAGTCTCCTTGAGAGCTTTCATGAGGGAGGGTTATTGACTTAGGGTTGGACTCTCTCCTTTCCCATAGAAGTGGGGTGGACCAGGCTAGCCAAGATGACCTGGAGAGAGCTTGGGTCCTAATTGCTGGAGCTGGAGCCAGCTGTCTGCTCTATCGATGGTGACAAAGAGGAGGTCACCATAGTGGGATGAGTCTTTAAGGAACTCCAAAAGTCAAAATAAAGGAGACCAGTTTCAAAGATCATGCCTAAGAAGGAAGAGTAGCTCCAAAAAAGAGAAAGCTGGGCATGAAGGTGCACACCTGTATCCCAGCGACTTGGGAGACGGGGATTGAGCAGGGGGATTGAGCCTGAGTTCTGGGCTATGGTGCACGATGCCCATTGGGTGTCCCGGTAAGTTTGACATCAATATGGCGACCTCCCAGGAGCGGGAGACCACCAGGTTGCCTAAGGAGAGGTGAACTGGCCTGGCTCAGAAATGGAGCAGGTCAAAACTTTCTGCCTATCCATACTGGGACTGTGCTTGTGAAAAGCCACTGCTCGCCAGCCTTGGCAACACAGCAAGACCCTGTGTCAGAGAAAGAGAGAGAGAGAGACACCAAGAATCAAAAGCCGTGAATCATTGGAAAAGAATGTGAGTGGTCTGAGGTGTTACAATGATGACTCTAGAGTGTCCTGGGTTTACCTTCATTGGCCTCTGCACATGCGTGATGTGGATGTGTCGGCCTGGCTGGAAGGTAGGAGCAGGTACTCTGCCATCCTCCCTGCAGTGTGATCCATCAGTACAAAAGTTTGGGCTAGGAGGCAGGGCGTAGATACCTTACCCTTAGATATGTAGGTGCATTTTCAGAAGTGAGAAGGGGGCAAAATAAATGGAATCTGACAGGATAAAGTGGGAGATAGTGGCAGAGAATGCACCTGTGGGAGGCACAGAATGCCTTGCTGCTCACAGACGCCCACGATCTCTAAGTATAGAAACCGTGATTTTTCCTTAAAATCAGGCCTGCTTTGGTATAGAGAGGCGGCTGTGTTCCCAGCACCACGCTAGGCCACCTGACGCCAGGTACAGCATCCTAGTGCTCTACAATCCCAATTTACAGGGGAAAACTCTGGGGTATCACCAGTTTGTCCCTCAGGAACCCATGGTGTTGTTTGGATGAACCTCTCCCCAATATTTGGAGGGCTAAGGCAAGAACACAAACAGAAGCCCACATGCCATTTTTTCTAAATATTTAAAAGCTAACAAACTGTTAAAATATATCATATCTTGCTACAAATATACCTAGAAGGTCAGTATTCTTGGGCTTCCAAGAGTTCTGTGTAGGGATGTTTGTCTGTCCCACACTGCCAGGGCCTTAAGCACAGGTGTTGGACCTCCTCCTTCCCATTCTATGTATCTGAGTTTCATCCCTGCTCCCCTATAAGCAGCCTCCCCTTGGCCTGGGGGTGCACACCCCAGCAGCGTGCACCACCTTCAGGAGGACGGATATGGGAAGGGTTTGTTCAGGCCCTGAGAGCAGGCTCAGGCTCTTTGGGTGGGCAACTCCAGGGTCAGAGGTACCTGGAGTATGATCTAGCAAGTGGCCTGTGTGCTGGATGGGAATATCCCTTTGGCTTCTCCCTTGGGGAGAGACGGAGCCAGAGGAAGATTGGAGCGAGGCCCTCCAGAGTGCAGGGCCCCTCCTGCCCAGGCCCAGGGGCAGTATTGCCAGTAATAGAGAGATGGAAGCCACCTAGTCCCTCGGTGTTTAAGGACTATCGTCTCAGATCTCTGTGTGGCAGACTGCAGGATTCCTCTTCCAACGTTCCTTCCCGTTAATAGTGGATTACTGATGTTGGCACAGTCCCTGCGATTCAGGAATCAGTTGGATACAAAATGGCTTAATGTTATGGGTCTTAATGGCCAGAACTGCATTCTCTGCTCAGTCCACTTACCCTACCAATAAGGCAGTAGCACTCCATAGTCTTTTTCTTCTGGTTTAAAGGGAGAGTCTTTATACCCAAAGAAAAGCCTGTAGAAACGCGTAAAGAAGAAAAGGTGACCCTTGACCCGGAACTGGAAGAAGCTTTGGCCAGCGCCTCTGACACTGAACTCTACGATCTCGCAGGTTAGTGCTCTGCCCCGGGAACGTTCCTGTCGGGCTCTGTCACCTCCAGGTGTGCACTGGCACTCACAGCAGCAGCCTTTGAGCTTCTCTGTACCCATTCATTGTTACTGTGATGCCGTGTTGACTCCAGCCATCGTGTCGCTGTAAGATTTGATGCTGGTGACTTCACCTCTCTGAGCAAATACTAATATTTTTTGCTCTATCAATTTTGCTATAAAATGCTGAAATGATACTTACCTTACAAAACGCAAGAGTTACTGTGAGACATCAAAGAGAACAAATATGAAGGAGCATTGAGAACTTAACTAATGAAATGACAGCCCTTAAATACTTTCAAAGAAGCTTTCCCATTTGGCATTTTATCATCACAAAATTTTCATGAGTTCTTGCCCTTCTCCACAGTTGCTGTTCCATTTTGATTCACACTTACAGGACTGTTAGCTTTCTAGTGTTCTTAACAATAGTGACATGGTAATGGTAATAATGATTATTTTTATTGATTTTTTTACATCCACATTTTTAAAAACTCAGAGTGCAAAGGAATATATAATGAAATATGTAAGTGTCTCACCCTAATTACCTAGACCTTCTGTCGTTTCTTGTATAGTCTTTGAGAAAAACTCCTTGAATATACCAGCATATTTGGACATTAGATCTTACCTCCCACACACACACACACACACACACATAAACGTTATTAGCCACCATAGGGTAGAAGTGCCTTAAAAACCAGTCCATATTCATGTGTCCACTGTGCCAGTTCTCAAAAAAGAAAATGTTATATAAATTTATAAAAATTTTTGAAAAACAAAAAAAAAACCAAAAAAAACCAGTCCATAGCTTTAGCAAGAATTCTCATTCTTATTCCATTGGAAGACATATAATAATAATCTCCATCCTCCCAGGAGAACCAGCCGTGCCTTATTCTAATACAAGCCAACCGTCTCAGCTACCTTTTCATTCCTTCTGTGATGAGATCAGTGGTTGATAATTAAGTTCACGTTTTTGGACCTCTCTCGGAGGTCACTGAAAGAATTGAGGCACCTGTGTCCCCTGGTAAAGAAGGTGCTTTGCAGTGACTGGTCATCTGAGCCCTCTGGGTACTGTGGAGAGATCCTGTTATGGTTACGGAACCTCCCAAGGGTTGCCTCATGGTTTCATGGGAGAATTGCTCAAAGGGAGGATGCAGGGCTGGACTTGAATTCCCAGGAAATGCCTGAGAAAGGAGAAAGAGAAAAACACCAATCATTTGGAAGATACCAGATCCTGAAATTCATTCAATAAAATCAGGGAGATAATTCAAAAAGAAAACTGTCCTTGTTCATCCTTACTCATCCTCCCTCCCTAGGAACTCAGGAGCAAGCCCAGCTGGGTGGGTGGCAGCATCTTCTCTAGGGTGCATCTTTCTGGAAGACTGAGAGCAGCCCCGGGAGTGGATGGGCTGACAGCCATCGAGGTTCACATGAGAGTGTCGATGCATTGCCCATGTTGTCGTGGCAGATAGAGAGCAGACAGTTCATCGAGGGAAAGGCAGTTGATCTCCAAGACAGCACCACCCAGACTGTCCTTATCTCAGTGTGGTCACCATCCAGGGTCTAGTTCTCAGCCCTGCTGGTCTTGAGATTTGATCTTGCCAGTGTACACAGAAGCAATCAGATTGGAGCGGAGTGGTAGGGACTGGTCCGTGAGCCAGAGTCACAGATAACAGACGAAACAAAAATCAAAACTTGGTAATAGGAGCCGAATTATAATGAGAGGTTGTTGGGTGAGCACAGGGCCAGAGAGAGAAGATAACGTTTGTTGTATGGTCTTTGTAGCCAATGTTTACCAAATGGGATACCTTCTCCCCAAACAATGTCAGAGACACAGTGGAAAATTCTTATTTATTTACCAAGAGTTTGTAAAGCACTTAGAACAGTGCCTGACACATAGAAAGTCATTTAATCTTTGTCATAAGTAAAGCATAATTATTATCCCTATTTTACAGATGAGGAAACAAACTCAGAGACATTTAGCAACTTCCCAAGTCACACGGTTACCATGCAAAAGAATCAGGATCCAAACTCTGGCTGGCTGCTCCGGAGCCCTCTCTTATCCTCTCTTATATGGTCAGAGCCACATACCTGCTGGCTGTGACTATTGTCCCTTCCTCCTGCTGTGCTGGCTGCCTCCTTCCTTCTGATATGTAGCTTACAGCAGAGCTAATGATCGCAGAGGCATTCCTCTGCCACCTGTCCACAGGTGATCTCTTCTGGGATCCATCTCCAGGTGGCCAGTCTCACCTGCAATTTCATTAGCAAAGGGAAATCCTTTACAATTGCCCAGCGTTAGCTCTCCCCCCCACGTTGTTTCCTGCATACTGTGCTGCCTCCTGGTGCAAGCTCCCGGTAATACAGGAAACTAAAACCTCAGTGTGCTCAGCTGACCTCTTTTCTCTGAAGTCTCTTTTATTTCCCACCCTGGGATGTTTTAGATGGGGAAAGGAGAACTCCTTTCAGCACTGTTAGATGGGGAGGCTTATGCTGAAAGAGGCCCACAATCTTCCTGTATTTGCATCTGGAAAAATATATGAAATAATCTATATAATGTTAGATCTTAAAAATCCTTAGCCTCAGTCCCACCTTCTCATTTAACAGATGAGAAAACAAAAGGGTTGAGTCTATGCAACTAGGAAGTCTAAGCAGTGTTTTAGCAATTTTGGACATAAGTAGGCATCGTTCCTCAGATCCTAAATGATTCCACATGTTTAGATGTTGAAAGAGGTGTGAAGATTGCTGGTTGTCTTGGAAAGAGACTTTTTAAAAATAAGTTTATTTAATACTGCACATGTATTATACACTATGCAAGAAAAGAGGAGTCAGGGATTTATCTTTATGTTATAAAGGATTGTTCTCCAAGGGGCAAATTAACGACATTGACATGCTAACATGCTTCTAAGCATGCTTAATGCTCATACATTGATCGTCTTTGTTTTTAGCTGTCCTTGGAGTACACAATTTACTCAACAATCCAAAGTTTGATGAAGAAACAACCAACAGTAAAGGTGGCAAAGGGCCTGTAAGAAGTAAGTTGATGTAGAGTCTGTGGTTTTGTGAAGCTTTGAAGCCTCTAGGTGTTGCTGGTAGCAGAGAGGCCTTGCACTTTGTCATGTCACTAGGGTCCCTGGGCTCTGAGCAATCAAACCAGAACAGAGCAGCCTATAATGGGAGCTCTGTCTGGCAGCGTAACTAGTACCTATCACTGTTTTGACCAGAACACACTCTCATGGTGGCACATGCCAGTATGCCTAGCTACTTTTTTATTATTTGTAGAGACGGGGTCTTGCTGCGTTGCCCAGGATGGTCTCAAACTCCTTGGGCTCAAGGGATCCTCCTGTCTGGACTTCCCAAAGTGCTGGGATTACAGGCATAAGCCATTGCACCTGGCTTCTTTTTACTTTTTTCTCTCCCTTTTTGGCTAATGAAATGATATCTCACTTTTTATTTCAGAGTTTAATTACTTTTTATATTTTCTGATTGAGTGACAGATTCTTCTGAGAATATTATTTGTTCATTTTTAATGGGGTTCTCTTATTGATTTGTAGGAGCTCTGTGTATATTGGGATATTAACCCTTTGTATGTTAAATATATTCCAAATGTTTTCTGTTAACTGCTTTTGAGAATTCTTCTATTCTTTTTTTTCCATCCCTTTCTCTTCCCATATCTTCCTCAAAACTGAAGCTCCAAAATGGAAATCAGAGGAGGGTAGGGTATAGTCAAGAGGCCAGGGGGGTATCAAGGCTTAGGAAATGAAATGACTCATTATGGTTTTTCTTTTTTGTATCTCAGATCTTGTAGTCTGGTTATAGTCTGAAAGGAGTCCGTATGGATCAGCAGTAACTTCCCCTGGATAATTTGGGGGTTGAGGTTTGCTGTAGAGTTTCCTGTACTTTTAGCTCTATGCAGTGTCAGCCACTGAGACTTCTCAGTGCAGTTGAGAAACACCAACCTTCTAAAGTGCAACTCAGAGCTATACTATTCCCATGCTTGCTTAGTTGAGAATATGCTTAATATCATTGATATTAGATTATTATTGGAATGAGAGCATATGAAAGGCATGCCATTTTGGGGAAAGTCATCTCTGATTTTGATAGGAGAGCCCTTGTATTTTTTTTTTTAAATTAAAACTTGTGTCATAGATGTTGTCAAAGGTGAAAAGGTAAAGCCAATATTTGAGGAACCACCCAATCCCACAAACGTGGAAGTAAGTCTGCAGCAGATGAAAGCCAATGATCCCAGCCTGCAAGAAGTCAACCTCAATAACATTAAGGTATGTCATTATGATTGTGATGATCGTCTGTCATTTGATTTATAGTGAGGTCAGAAAGCCTACTGGAGGTGGCTGATTGCTTACTTTTCATACCTGTTTGCAGTCCTTTGTAGTCACTGATTTTGAGTCAAGATATCCTTCTCAAAGGAAGAAATGGGTTTAAAAAAAGAGTGATTTTTAGAATTCTTTGAAAAGAATCGTTATACTTGGGTTAAACATAGTACATTAGTTATACCTATTGCTGAGTAAGAAAGTTACTCTAAAACTAAGAGGCTTCAGACAAAAATCATTTATTATTTCATACAGGTTTTGAGTGTTAGGCATCTAGGAGTAGCTTAGCTGAGTAGTTGTGGCCCAGGGTCTGAAGTGAGTATGTAGTGAAGCTGCAATGTCAGGGTTCACTGGGCAGGAGGACCCACTTCCAGGACAGCGCCCTCATGTGGCTGTTAGCAGGAGACCTCATTTCTCACCACAGGGGCCTCTCCATAGGGCTGCCTGAGTGTCCTCACATCAAGACAGCTGGTTTCTCCCAGAGTGAGTGTGCCAAGAGAGAAAGAAAGAGCAAGCAGGAAGCCATAATACCTTTTATGACCTGGCCTCTGAAGTCACACATCGTCACTTCTACTTTATTCTATTTGGCAATAAGTCATGACACTCCCAAAGGGAGGGAATGAGTGTGTGTGTGTGTGTGTGTGTGTGTGTGTGTGTGTGTGTGTGTGTGTGTGTGTAAACATTGCCTGAGGTCTGTTTTATTTATTCTTACTTGGCCGGTTCCTAGCATTTAATCATAATAACTGACTTTTATTGAGTACTCACTATGTGCCCTGTCCTTTGTTCAATACTTGAAATTTATTATCTCATTTAGTCCTTAGTAACACATAAAGAGGTTAAGTTGCTAAGGTCACAGAGCTAGTTTGTAATGCAGGCATTACCTCTAGCTGTCCCCTATATGTCTCAGTCCCCAGTGGTCAGTACTGTGCTAAGTGCTCTACAAGAGGGAGTACAAAGATGAGTAAAATTCATTCAGTCTTTACTCTGAAAAGGTTGTATTAGGAGGAAAACACTAAATAAATAATTACAACATGATGTGATAAGCCCCCGAATGTTATGGAATTGGAAGGAAGAAAAATTTTAATGTTGCCTGGGAGAACCAATAAACAAAGGAGGTGATATGTCAGCTGGGTCTTGAAAGATGAGTGGGAATTAATTGGAGAAAAGAACTAAAGGAATTTTCAGGCAAAGGGAAAAGCATATTTAAAGGCATGGAAAACAGAAAGACCATGGTATATTAAAAGAATGGCAGGTGGGTCAGTCTGGCTAGAATATGGAGACTGGAAGAGGAAAAGAGGGAAGTTTAGTATGTGCATAATTTCTTGTTTAGGGAGAGCAGGTGATGTCAGAATGTACCATTGCTTTAGGTGGTTTTGAACACTAAGTGGTGCTATTGACTCAGAATGGCTTGGCTGCTGAAGGCTAGGTAATGAACCTCCTTTAGAACGGTTATCATGTAATTAGCCATCTAAACAATTGATGATGTTTAAAAGTAGTGGGTTCTTAACTTGGGGTGAGTGTGCTGTAGAATGGACCACCAACTAGCCATGTTTTCTTCATCTTAGAACATTCCAATTCCAACTCTGAAGGAATTTGCAAAGGCTCTGGAGACCAACACTCATGTAAAAAAGTTCAGCCTGGCTGCAACCCGCAGCAATGACCCTGTGGCCATCGTAAGTAAAATTTTAGAAATATAACATGACTTATTTAATTCACAATTCAGAACCCAGCTGTCAGGCACTTTGAACTAGAATTTTGTCAGCACTACACTTTTCAGAGAAAGAAACAAGATAAGTTTGGCATTTAACTAATAAATATTTAGGGTTCTGTGTTTAGTACAAATTTTCTAAGACTTTTGCATCTATAGTAATATTCTGTTACAGTCATTGAATAGTAAGCCCTAAAATTCTACAGGAATTCAGTGCCTATAAAAAATGTAAAAGTTGTTTTATTTTAAGCTAGGAAATGGATTAATATGTGTCTAAAATATTTTAAACAACCTAATCTTGAAACAATTTTTTGTTTGATACCCTGTTAACCAGAATATGAAAAAAGCCAACCAAAAGCTCTGTTCCTTCTATGCATTTTAGATAATTCAGCCAAATAAGGAAGCCCCTTGATCCAAGTAAATTTTTCCACCATCACTATCATCATTTTTATTCCTTCTGTTAATATCTAATTAGTTATTCTTCCTATTATTTCCTCTTATTAGTAGCTAAATTCTTGAGGAATTAGTAAATGCCAGCACCGATCTTTGTGCTTTACGCACATCATCTCACTTAATCATTACTATAATATTATGAGATATATACCATTATTAGTTTACACTTTAAGAAATGAGGAAACTGTAAAAAAAAAAACATAAATAAATAAATGTGAGATTCCTTAAATTAAAACTTGATGCTACAGGAAACGTCCAAAGTCAATACAGTTCTTACAAATTATTAGCACTTCTATTCAAAACATCCAAATGAAACAAAAAAAGTAACTGTCAAAATCAGAAATCTGTATGTATTACTACACCTAAGCCTATTACATTTTCATAATAAAAATCTGTGGCTATTCTTTAAAAAAAAAAAAAGAAAAGAAAAGAAATGAGGAAACTGAGGCTCAGAGAGATTAAGTTGTTTGAGGTGGTACAGCCAGTAAATGGCAGAGCCAGGATTCACCACCAGGTATTTCTGGTTCGACAACCAGGATGCTTAACCACCAAGCTATGCTATATTTACACACAATGCCTCACTGTCATACATTTGCTAAAATATGTCTTTTATTAAGAGCTTGGGCATCAATCACACTGTGGTTCTGTAGCATTTAATGCCCGGCACTCGAATCAAGATAGAAAAACAAAAGTTGTCTTGACTTGATGCTTTGATTTAAAGTAATATGTCTTTTGGAAGATCTAAAATAGCATTTAAAACAGATGACATGAAAGTAATGATCACCTGTTATGGTCCTGGGGCAGAAGAGATGTTTGAAAAGTAGTTGTTAAATGAATGAATAATCATGACCTCCAGCCTCTCAGCAGTAGAGAATATTTCCGTGATGACAACAGCAAACTTGAGATAAACACTCATGTAAAAGAGGCACCAAGCTACAAAATCAGTGTTTTCACCAATGGTTATTACATGTCTAAATTTGTAGGTTGAAAGCAGTTTTGAATTTGAAACCTATCATTAAAATAGAAAAATTGTATAACTAGACCCCTGGTAAGGTGAAATGAGCAGTTTAAGGATTCTTATCTGTGTATGATATTTTACTATCTCTGCCCTTTAGTAGATTGTTTTCAATAAAGCAAAAATATTCACAATATATAACATAATACTTTGTAAATGAATAAAGGATGAACAAAGAAATGGTTTGTCACTTGTATTTAATGTATTATTTTCAGTAAAATTGCAGGGGCAGGGATAGTTTATAGTCAGTCTGTTGTCAAAGAGACTACTGGTAAGTTATCTAACTTCTAGGTCAAATAGATAACTTCCAAAGTGGACTAAATAAATTCCAAATATAGTATCTTTGACACTGTTTTTAATGCAACAACTATGTGTTGAATGTCTATCATCTGACAAGCACTGTGTTAGGAGCTGGATTTTTTGGTAACATTTTTCAGGCAAATTTAACACCTTTTGTAACTTGCTTTTTAAAAAATAATTTATTTGGTAAAAAATGCTGGTGAATATGTAAAGAAAGGGGAACGCTTGTACACTGTTGGTGGGAATGTTAAGTAGTACAGCCATTATGGAAAACAGTATGGAGTTTCCTCAAAGGACTAAAATAGAAAACTACCTTATGATCCAGCAATCCCACTTCTGGGTATATATCCAAAAGAAAGGAAATCAGTATATCGAAGAGATATCTACATGCACATGTTAATGGCAGCACTATTCAAAATAGCCAAGATATGGAAGCAACCTAAGTGTCTATCAACAAATGAATGGATAAAGAAAATACGGTATATATACATAATGGAATATTATTCAGCCATAAAAAATGAAATCTTGCCATTTGCAGCAACACGGATAGAATTGGAGGTCATTATGTTAAGTGAAACAAACTAGACACAGGAAGACAAATACCGTGTTTTCTCACTCATATGTGGGAGCTAAAACAGTGGATCTCATGGAGGCAGAGAGTGGAATGATGGTTACCAGAAGCTGGGAAAGGAAAAGGGGAGGGAAGAATGAAGAAAAGTTGGTTAAGGGGTACAAAATACAATTAGATAAAAGGAATAAGTTCTAGTACTCAGTAGAATAGTAGGGAAATTATAGTTAATGGCAATTTATTGTATATTTCAAAATAGCTAGAGGAAAAGAACTGTAATATTCCCAACATGAAAGGTAAACATTTGGTTTGAGGGTATGGATATCCCAGTTACCTGATATGATCATTACACATTGTATACAGGTATAAAATATCACATGTACCCTCAAAATATGTACAACTACTTTATGTCAATAAAAAATAAATTTAAAAATGTATTGTTATGGTCACAGTACAATCTGTAAAACAGAAGGACTACAGGAAATGTATATGTATTCATTCATTCTTTTATATGGATAGAGTATTCAAAATATTATTTTATTTTATTTTATGTTATGTTATGTTATTTTTAGAGACTGGGTCTTGCTTTGTTGCCCAGGCTAGAGTACAGTGGTGTCATCATAGCTCACAGCAACCGCAGCCTCCTGGGCTCAAGCAGTCCTCCTGAGCAGCTGGGACTACAGGCATGCGCCACCATGCCTGGCTAATTTTTCTGTTTTTTGTAAAGATGAGGTCTCGATATTTTGCTCAGGCTGGTCTTGAACTTCTGACCTCAGATGACACTTCTGCCTCGGCCTCTCAAAGTGCTAGGATTATAGACATGAGCCATCACGCCTGACCTCAAAATATGATTTCTAAAGATTGTCACTCCTATTGGAGATTTTTCACTTTTCCTTCATTCTAACTCTAATTGATACGTGTGTCACAGCATCCTCATCTCCACCTGTCCTCCTTACTCCTCAGACCCAAGGGTAAACAGAGAAGGAAGAAGTGGAACCAAGGGGAAAACATGAGGGTTTTAGGAAATGTTTTCTTAGTTGTCGCTGTGCCTGAGTGACTGTTTCATTGACAGCTCCCATCATAAGTCTTCATTTTTAGCATTCAAACATGAGGTGAAAAGGTGTTTCTAGTGGATGCCATTTGCATACCTCAAACCTTATTTTGCTTTCACATTCTAGATTATTATTCTGATATATTGCTAGAATCAGTGAAGCTCTGTGTGATCCACATTCACCTAGACATGTCCCCCACCTAAGGCTGTCTTGCATTTAATAAGAAAACATTTTATTTTAGGGTTTGTGGTAACCATAAATAAATAAGCTCTATGATAGTATTTTAAAACACTCTCCAAGAACCTTGTGCATTTGAGACATTTCTTAGTCTTATAAAAGCACAGCAGTTCCACTTGTGAAGCAGCATGGTGTACCAGGAAAAGCTTTGGACTTGACAGAGAAAAATCCGGCTCTGTGTCCTGTTTTTGTTGCTAACCTATTATTTGGCATCTGTAGTAACTTCTCTGGACCTTAGTTTCCCTCAGAGATCATTGAGGTTTGCTGGTAGTATCAGGTGAATACATATTCACCTAAAAGCAACTAACATGCTGTACAGTTGGGAGGAATAATTGCTGTCCTAAGGGTGTAAAGAGAAAAGTCTCTTTTAGCCTTATGCCTAGATGGCTTCATATGGTCCAGCCCACCTGGTTGTCCCCAGATAGTTCCCCTCTCAGCTATGCCCTTGTCAGGAAAGAATCTTCTTATAGGTTGAAAATTGGTTGGTACAGGCACTAGAATTCTGCAAATGGTGACTATGGCTATTACTCACTGTTGATTTAAACATTATCGCTAAAGCAAAGAGCTTCAAGAGACTTAGAATCAAAAACAGATTCAGTAAGGTACTTCTGGAATTGTTGTGAATGTAGACAAAGCTACGCACATGAGAAGAAGACATCATCCTGTTTTACAGATGAGGCAACTGAGACTCAGAGAAGTTGAATGTGTTGACTAAGATTACATAGCATGTGGCCAAGCCAGGATGCAGATGTAAGTCATCTGTAATCAATCAAGTTCAGTTTACCATGCCTCAAGCACTTCCATTTAACCACATCTACAACAGTTGAGTATTAATGGAATTTGCCCCCACTGAATGCCAGTGAAGAGAACAGGCCCAAATATATATATATAAAAAAAAAAAACCACTATTTTTTTATTTTCTTTTCTCTTTTTTTTTTTTTTTTTTTTTTTTTGAGACAAAGTCTTGCTCTGTTGGCCGACTGGGCTAGAGTGCAGTGGTGTCATTGTAGTTCTCTGTAACCTCAAACTCCTGGGCTCAAGTGATCCTCCTGCCTCAGCCTCCCGAGTAGTTGGAATTACAGGCACACACCACTGTGCCCAGCTAATTCTTTCTATTTTTGGTAGAGACGGGGTCTCACTCTTGCTCAGGCTGGTGTCAAACTCCTAAGCTCAAGCAATCCTCCTGCCCCGGCCTCCCAGAGTACCATTAATAGGATTACAGGTGTGAGCCACCTCACCTGGCCAAAAAAAAAATACTGTATTATTAACAGTGTTGCCATATAAAAATCAAGAGGTTAGGACAGCACCATCCATTAGAAGTAAAATATGAGCCACAAATG